CCCCAAAACCCCAAAACCCCAAAACCCCAAAACCCCAAATAATCAATAGTATGGGACTATATTTATTCTTTTACAAATAAAGCTATCATGGTCAGGTGGGATGTCGCGTGTCTGGTAATCGCAAACATTTTGTCAAATAGTTGCTACTCCTTAGTGGTTCCCTTCCTCCCTTTGGAGTTGGAGACCAGAGGAATTTCAGTATCTACGATTGGATACATCTTTTGAATGTATTCTGTGGCTGTGATCATCGGATCCCCTATAGTAGGACGCCTCATGACTAGGAGGGGAAGGAAGAAAATCCTTATCTTTGGGTTATGCTTTATGGGATGATCTATGATTGGATTTGGAACTATCCCATATTCTCCTTCACTCAGCATGTTCACTCTCTTGGCATTTGTATTTAGATTTTGCCAAGGGATCTCCTCCTGATCAATTCAAACAACATCATATGCTATTGTTTCGATGACCTTCCCGGATGAGCAAGAGAAATATATCGCACTGATTGAAACAGCAGTAGGAGTTGGGCTTATCCTCGGACCAGTTATCGGGTCATCAATTTATGCATTCTTTGGATTCAGTCCTACCTTCTTTGTAATTGGAATCATCTTTTTATTCCTTACTCCTCTTTTGTACTGCCTAATTCCAAATTCAATCGATAGAGGGAATGCTAATGTAGAAACAGATGCTGAGAAGATGATTCATGAGTACCAAGACCATCAATCAGAGAGAGACAAGAATGCTAGAGTCTCCTTCTTCAAACTGTTGGGCACTAGAAGGTTCTTAATTGCATCAATGGGAGGAATGATGGCTAATTTTATGTACTGCTATATGGAACCTGTGTTAGCATTTAGAATATCTGAATTTGAAATTAGCTCTTTCCAGATCGGTATGTTCTTCTCAATTCAACCTATTTCTTACATTATTTTATCATTCACGATCTCTTGGTTCAGTAAGAATTATGCTAATAGAGGATTAATCATGGTTGGAGCTCTAGTCTCTTCATTCTCAATGTTGTTAGTAGGTCCTTCACACTATTTACCCAACGAATTATATCTTATGGGGCTCGGACAGCTTTGTATTGGAGGATTTGGCTTATTTTTGATGGTCCCTGTAATCCCAGAAATGATTAATTCTGGATCTAAATATTATCCTGGGAAGATCATTGAAGTCACTGATATCTCTGCTGGCGTATTCAACTCAGGGCTTGGTATTGGGCAGGTTGTTGGTCCTATATTTGGATCATATGTCACCCAAGCAACAGATTTCAGGACTTGCTCAGATATTGTTGGATATATTCTGTTTACGTACTCCATCCTTTATTTCTTACTAGGAGATGGTCTAGTCCTTCTAAAGACTGCATGCAAAGAAGTTAAGAAAAAGGAAGTTATTGATGTTGTGAGAAGTTCTCCTGCCAGAAATGTTCAGATGAGAAACAGAATCTTATCGTAAGCTGATCATGTTATTCAAGATCAATTTTTTAATTCACTCATTTTTACTATATTTGATTTCTCTATATAGAAATGCTTCCCATGACGAGAACTTTGACCTGAATTATGAGAAGCTATCTCAAAGAACTCCTCTATTGAACAAACAGCAGAGACAAGATGTCTAAAATATGAAAATTTAAGGCCTCTAAAATCTGGAGATATTTTCACATGAAAATGATTCAATATAGATTAATTTGATTGGGGTTTTGGGGTTTTGGGGTTTTGGGGTTTTGGGG